CAATACTTTATTTGAGGTAGCATAGGAATTTTTTTCTGCCTGATTATAGACCAAGTTGTGGCAGACAGATCAGTGGCCTATGACCTACTAGCCCTGTTTTTCTCATCATTATAAGAACAGTACAATTGTCCAATAGACAGAGGCAGGTGCTTCAGTGAAAGATTTCCCAGACTGAAGTATAAGGGAAGCAAATTTCGATGTTCAAAATGCAAATTAGTTTTGACATCTGACCAGTGGAATACTTATCACTTTATACAGCTCTGAACTACACTAGCTTCTTGACATGAGACCAGTAGTAGTCTTGAGCAGTTCGGCAAAGATGTGCTTAAAGTGACAGTAAAATCTGTCAATTGTAACAATTCAATTCTTTTTCTTTCACATGAACTTCATTGTGCTTTATTAGGAGGATTGCAAGTAACCATTAATTCCCAGACCATCTGTGTAAGCAACCAAAGTATGAATACTGAATAGAAAATGAACAATTGCTTCTTTTATGCAGACAAACCCAGTTAGTTGGATTTGAGAACATTTTCTCCAGACTGTGTGAAACTCTAGATCTGATTACTTATGTGTGCTCAATGAAATGTAACATATTATTTAAAGGGACATTACTATATTTAAAATAATGCAACATTTCAGAACGTTATTCAGAAATACACATGTTCTGGACTACAAAACTGAATTGTGAAGCAGGTAAGTTTGTAATATTTTATAGTTTCATTCTAAGAGTTTGTCCTTGCTTTTCATTTCTGTGGTACATTTTGTCCTATATGGCTTCAGTATGCAGGTCTATAGTAGTGCGGTTCACATTTGACAGAACCTTGGCTCATTGCTAAAACAGCTGTTTAGAATTTTTATGAGTTAAATTGCTTGTGCCATATTACTCAAACCATACTGTAGGAAGGAAAAGGAATAGACTATACTAGTGATTAAAAAACATGTTAGAAGTTGGATTTTTGAAAGGTTTAGTAGCACGATTTGAACATCTGGCAATGAGTGGATTTGTGAATAACTTTAAAAGTGTAACTCTTTAAATGGGATAGTGTTCCACTGTCACAAACTCCGAAACCACAAAACAAACTTTGTTAACAAGTGGAGAAAGTGCCATAGTAAAAGCTTCTGAGTAGGAGAGTGTAGCAATCAAAATACTATAATTGTAGATATTTAAACAGGGTGCTTATTACACTGTTATAATATTGCACATTGTTGCATGTTAAAGTGGCCTTTAATTCCCATTTTGGAAGGAAAGAGGCAACATGATTACAGTAATAGCCTAGAAATTGTTGCCTTAATATGTTCATACTTACGATATTCATAAATTTGATTTGTAGATAGCAAAGCCTGCGGGAAACCAAATATGTTTGAGGCTGGCTCTCCTAAAGTCTGTTCAAATGCCAATTTTGTGCTAGGCAACAGGAGCTTCCTTTGGCTGCAAATTGGGTTAATTGGAAGTAAAATCTGAAATCAGTATCACAAATTAGATCCAAATAATACAACTGCTCAATTCTGTGCAAGGGATTGATGGAGTATTAGTCACAATGATGCTACTTTTGAAGAGTTTCAAAGGTACAATTTAACATTAGATTATTGGGCAGAACTAATAATTATTTTCTCCAAAAGCAAAACTATCAATGGTTGACAAGAAGTTTATTATATCCAGCAATAGAACAATGCCCTTTCACAAATGAGATTTGGGTTTCAATCTAGGGCAGACGTATATAGGGCGAAAGTACATCATCTCTGACAGCCATCACAAGTCTAGAGAGCATCTGTCTGGTGCACAAAATGCCCACATTTGGCATTAATTGTCAATCTCACTGAGAGAAGAAGCATGAAAGTTGTGGAAATGGAAATGTTATATTGGTAGAGTTGGGGCAACTTATCTGTAGTCAGGGTCAAGTCCATGTGTTCAGACAGAGGGTGGTTTACTGGATCTAACCAGTGCTATTGAACAAAAAGAGTGGGAATACATTCTATTTTATAGCACTGGCATCCCTCACTTTGAAGACCACTTGAGTTTAGATTAGTAAACAAAACCAACGAAAAAACACATCTGGTTTAATAGAAAAAAATGAAATTCCCCAGGAAAGTTCACGGCACATGTTTCAAGGACATGGAACTGAGTCCAGAACAGCACCAGACACGTACTACTCAGAACTGTTAAAACAAATCAGGACACAATGTAAGAATCAATCAAAATAAATGAAACCCAGACAGACCCATCTGAAGAATGCTATACTTTTCCTCTATGTGTCAATGACCTGCAATACAGCCTAGCAAACTTGAAACCCTAGCGATTTGAGATACAGACATTGTTATTTTCATTCGCCAATTGTAAAACTGAATTGAAAAGGAAATCTGCTAAAGTTCTTCTTTTTTTGCTTTCAGTTAAGCGATGCCTAAGAAAAAGGAAGGTGCCAGAAACTCTGCTTTTACCATGTATTTCACTTAGTTGAAACAGATTGCCCAAAAATATGTTGTTCAGATCTATGTCCCCAATCCATCCACTCCCAATTTATTTTCCAATTAAACTACTGAGCACGCAAATCTTTAATGCTAGAATCCTAATAACCTGTCCTTACAAACGTCAAGCCTACATAGACATTGATAGTAGCATTGCTGCATCTTCCAACATTCTTTGTGCACCTCTAAACATCTGGAAATGACAAATACTGTATTGGATGATGCATATGTCAGTGAAAATTAACCCCTCAAATCATGAGAAAACTGGTGTGAAGAGCATAACGTGAGTATAGATTAGTGACAAAGGTCTTCACGTTTACCAAAGACTTTAAGCAAACAAGTCAAAATTCTCATAGGTAGGGAAATGTAAACTACTGCAGATAAAATGCATGCTTGGATAAGAAAACACAAGCTATTTTGTGATCATATATATGATCCTATATTTCTTAAAATAAGAAATAATTAAGTGATTAAGAACTCTCTTTATACATGGGGACCAAAATGTTGTGATACCATTACAATTTCTAATACGTTTTGAAGATATACCCACAGTCTGAGAAATTGGTGCGTGGTGCAACCAGAGTGGTTTTAAAGCACTACCTTTGTGGAGTCCTGTAGCTCAGTGGTTAGAGCACTCGCTTTTGCAAGCGAGAGACCTGAGTTCAATTCCAGGCAGGTCAGGGCAAAACCTTGGGCAAGTTTCCTTACTCCACACAGAGCCTAATAATAATCCCTCCAAAAACCAAAAACAATAATAAATTGGTCATTTTCAATCTATTTGTGGGACATTGCTGTGCGCAATTGGCTGCCGCGTTCGCCCACAAATATACAGTCAATTCACTTTACAATGTGTTCTGTGAAGCAATTTGGGACGTCCTCCCGACGTGAAAAGCGCTATATCAAATGCAAGGATTATTTTTATTATTATTATATATGTTTTTTAAGCTATTAGGGTGGCTTCAAGACTTTTTGGTCACCCTATATGTAGGAAAGAAAAATCACTTAAGTTCAAACTTATTTTGATGCTGTGGAAACCTTTTCTTTAGAAAGCTGTTAAGGATCAAGTCTTTACAAAATAAACAGAGTATACAGTTACAGATAAACACAGGCTAATTCTACAATTTAAATTAAATTTTAGTTGGATTGTTGACCTTGGTCATCATTTTAGTGCTATAGGTGTGAAAATTCTAGATGCTGAGCTAGAATTGTTATAAGATCCTGAAAACATGGGTACAAATAGAAACAAAAACTGCAAATAGGTAAGGGAATGGATGGAAAGTGCTTCAGACGTGACTGTAAATCTAACCATATTTAACAGTATGAAATCCATATATATCCAAAGTCTTCTAACACTGCTTGGTACATATTCCTGTTGAGAGAGTTCTAGGTAGATAAATAGATACTCCACTTTACTCAGGAGCATCTGTACAGGTGATACCAATGACATACAAATTTGAACTCTGGTTAATACAATTCCTAAGAGGGAAGGGTCATTATTTTATGTGGCTTCTTTCACCCACTCCCATAACCAGATATTCATATCTCATTTCAGTTCAACATTTCAAAAAGTTAATCAATTGGCAAAACGTTTTAAAAAATTAATATGGAACCCAAACTACTCAAATGCCTGTATCTGTATCATACAGAATAATTTATACTGCAGATGGAATTATAAGCCTGTAATTCCAGTGAAGTGTATGTAGTGATATAATAAACTGCAATTGAATAACTCTTATGGCTTATGAATATCAGCAAAACTTCAGCACTACATTATTTTACTTCATATAAAATATACTCTGTTTTTTTAAGTGAAAAGGTGTTATCGAGAATTCAACTTGGTGTGGCCATGCTGCTGAGAAATGCATTAAAACGGGAGTGTTATTGAAGGATTTTTCAAAAAGGTTTTGTATAAAGTCACAAGTTGCTTGATGTCAGTGATGCAGTTATCTTGAGGTAAAATAAAATTGGGGCATAATTTAATAATTTGACATATGACTTGTTTCCAGACAAATATACAAAACTTTGTCTCTCCTCATATTATGAAGTGGGGATGGGTGTTAATCACATAACTAGCAACTTTGGGTGTTCAATTTATTTCCAATTTCTGGTAAACTTGTGATAACTGCATAAATATTCTATGGCAATCTAAGTGGTGATTACATAACTGAAGCTCGGTAATCTGGTGATGGTATTGTTTAAATACCAGGTAATAATAAAGCCTTAGCTTTGGGCATATTTTAGCAGTTCCAAAGCTGAATGTCAAGTAGAAGCATTAATTCTAAATAGAACTGCCACTATACACGTTATTTACTGTCAAGTGTTCAGCCAAAGGGTTTAGCAGATTTTCAAGCTACCCACTAATACTTGGTTTTATTTGACCTCTCTGAACAGCAAGGGAGGCGTGAAACAAATTCCTCACTATTGCTGTGAAAACAAACAGGCTGCATTTAAATTAAACCACCATATTTCACTCATTACTTTAAGAAAACAGCTCATCAACCTATAATTAATTCTTCATTCTCCTTGTGTTTCTCTAGGGATTTGAAGAATAACTTGATTAGCAGAATTGAGCCTGGGGCTTTCTATGGGCTTTCAGAACTGAGGCGTCTGTAAGTATTCATTCTATTTGATTTGCCTCTACTCTGTCAAATTAGTTCATACCTTGTCTAGTTAGGTAGAGACGTAGCATAAAAGAGTTGCTGGCAATCGATATTATGTCATTACTCTCCTAAGGATCAATTAATGCATTCAATGTTTTGACAATATTTACTGCAAATACAGTAGGTTGTTTAATATTAGTGCATGGAAATGATTTGAATGTTTTAGATGAAACAGGCAAATCAAATATTTATCATTTGTATAAAAGGATTAAGGATTTATAGAAAACACGTACCTTCTTTCATTATGCTGATCAAGTTTTTCAGAGCAAGTAAAACGTTGTAGTTTTGTTAATATAATCGTAAGAAAGTCAATAATCAGCATTGTTGAAATATTCACAGAATCCTGCTTTCATTAAAGTTCCTTAGTGCTGTTAACTGTAGACCTTTGCTGAAGTGTATATTGTGTACCTTTAGTTTCACGTCTTGGAAGCTAATATTTCCTTTCAAAAAAAAGCTAGTAAGTCTGTTCTATTAAGAGTGAAATGAATTTGAAGGATTGAGGATTTAAGAGCTTTAGAATGCATTGCTTGGACACATTTCAAGAGTCAAATCTTCTTATAGGGAACCTTCTTCAGCAGTCCTCAGGCCAGCAAAGAGATGATGAAAATCTTACAAATGCATGTAGTGTTTGGAGAGAAATCATTTTTTACTGTTATTTTATATAAATTACAGATGTGTCCGACCTTTACTGGTTGCAATTTGAGAAGACGTCAGAAGGTTGTGTGAAGAACATACTGTATGGGATCCCTGCAACTGTTTAATTCTTAATGACTATGAATGGAAACAGAATTGAAACATTTTTAACCTTAGTTGAAGAGCCACTGTGTATTAGGTTATGGCCTCTTGTTACATACAAAAATACTAAGGACAAACCACATGTAGTATTTACTGGTTGGGTCCACACACCTTCATGCAGTATTGCTAGTATCTTTTTTTAATATTAAAGATCGATGAATTTGGGAAACTTTTCAAAAATGTTCTGACCAAATAAAAATGTTTACAAAGCTTCCAAAATTCATCAATCTTTAATATTTAATTACGTTTTGTCACACCTTAGTTAATTTGAACTTACATGGATGCATTAGGGGCCATAGAAATGAATAGGCAAGCTAGAGCTATTATGCCTTGAAAAGAGACATCTCAGAGGGAAATTTACAGATGTATATAGGATTTTTAAATGGGATTAAGAAATTAAACCCAGAACAATACTTCCAGATACACCAAAGCAGTAGACCAACCAGGAAAGCACAGGTTTCGGGTTGGAAAAGACAATTTCAAAATAAACATCAGGAAGTATTTTCATCATCTTGGTAACAGCTACTGGCAAAAAATGATTCAGCACCAATTCCTACATTGTGTAGCTTGATTTAAAAATGAATGGTGGCACTGCCTGGTGGTCTGAACAATTGGGAACGTACTTACTCTAGGAGCTTTCCTTGAGCTGATTTTATGAGATGCATCTGGGTTGTTTCCAGTGAAGAGAAAACTTGTTGGGAATGTAATTCTGTATCACTGAAGCATCATTCCTGATGGGTCAACCAAAGAATGGCTTAATGCCATCTGTAGAGATGACTGCAGAAGATTTCAAGCAAGCATTAGCAATAACGATTCATAGCTGAGTTAGTGCTTTGTTGGGGAGTTTTTTTTCCAATTAAGAGGAAGAATCATAATAACGTCCTAAACAACAGAGGCAGTCCTACTGTATTCGGGATTGTTGCCATTATACATTGTGAATACACCCAGGTCCATAGCACAATGGAAATCTCTATCTAAAGAAACGAAAATGCCTGTATTCTGATTTTACTTGCTGATACAAAGAACATATGATCTGTACAAAACAATGGATTGTACCTTACTGCTTCCCACATTCCAACAAGTATCTCATTATTATCCTCTGAAGGATCTTGTGTATTAGATCATTTTAATTCAGAGTTGCAACAGCAACAAATGACATTTGTATTGCGCCATTCACGTCGGGAAGATGTCCCAAGTTGCAGTAATCTTACAATCATATTTTCCTGTATCAATCCATCTCTAGCATGAATTGAATTTAGGGTAAATTCAATTCAGACAGTTGCTATGTCTTGAGAAATTGGCTGCCGTGTTTTGCCCACAAAATATACAGTCAATTCACTTTACAGTATATTCTGTGAAGCACTTTGAGATGTTTCAAAGACATAAGGTCCTATATCAAATGCAAGGATCATTATTAGAATTGTGCATGGAGGAATTAATGTCAAGGGAATTTTGCAGTGTAGTATTGATTTATGATTGTCTTGGATATGTTTCATGTTTGTAACTATTATTCCATAATATTAGTGGATGAACCATCCAAATGCTTGATGAAAAATCACTCTAGTCTGTAATGTTGCAAAAAACATAACCAACTAATTTATGGCAAAACATTTATGTAGGATGCAGAGACACAAAGCTCAAAAATGAGAGAGCCTTCAAATTTAGAAATGACTTATTTTCTCACCATTTTTTCTTTTTTGATCCTTTTCTCCTGAATACACTGAGATGCAGAGGTATTTTGGTTCCATGGATGGCAGCAATATTCTGGTACCTTTGTCAAATGGGCCATTCCTCACATGGGAGTGTGGACCCAAATGTTAGCAGACTGAGCTTGGACATCCTCTGCTCACCCAGGATCGACCTGCACACACATTCTAACAAGGTCTACAGGCTAGCAGTCAAATATTGCCATTTTTTTCTCTCTATTCTAGTCCAGAAATGTTGAGATGGTCAATTGTAGCAACCCAACTGAGAAACAAACTAGAGATGGAATTCCTCAGCATTTGGGGAGATGTTGAACAATATTTCTCAACTAATTATGTTATGTTGTGTCTGTAGGGATCTGTCGAACAATAGGATTGGATGTCTCAGTCCTCAGATGTTTGCAGGTCTTTCACGCCTCTCTAAATTGTAAGTACAAAACATTTGCTTACTATTAGTGACTTAATTAAGCAGATAATAGTGTTTAATTAGCAATGATTCATGACTGGAGTTGCTAGTACAGAGAGCATATCAAATAAAGGGAATTTGATATGCTCTGTATATCCCAACTCGATCTCTCTGCTTCTGCCCTCGACTCTGGGATGACTCCTGTCCTGAAGAATGTCTGTCAGACATCAAGTCCTGGAATTGAACTCAGGTCTTTCGCTTGCAAAGCGAGTGCTCTAACCACTGAGTAACACATTGATGGTTACTAATTTTACAAACTAATTTGTCCTCAACCCATTCTACATTGCTGTTGGTAATGTTCATAAATGCTTTCTTATTTTATAGGAATTTGTCAGGAAACATCTTTTCAACCCTTCCTTTCGGGCTGTTTGCTGAACTTGTAACACTGAAAGCCTTGTGAGTAAACCATTGTGATTAGGAACTTTCAGTTATTAGAGTTCAATACTATTCAAATGAATTCAATTTCTTCTATGTGGTATTTGAGATCATTATTAAAAGAAACACTCCAACAAGTTCTCAAACAAGGTTGATATTCAAATGCCGAGTGTATCTCACAAGGAAATACTAAGTAATGTGGCATTTAAATACATAATTGTTTACAGTTCAGGTCATCCAGTTGAACATTCAAAGCATCAAAGTAATCTGAGGTTATTTGAACAAAAAAAAACTTGTTTTTTTGCCTGACCTAATACTGCACACAAGATTAGAATCTGATTTGCTTTTATTTCTATCTTGGCACCAACCTGACTGAAAAGACCACTCTATACCAATGAATTATATTCAATTCTTTATTTACCATCCTTTTCCATATAAAAGGAACAAAGAAACCTAGCGAAACATTTAAAAATAGTACTTTCCAACAGCGATAAAATGTCCTTCAGCTACTCAAGGTTATTTTAATCAACTCATGTACAAATTGCACTCAGTGTAAGGAGAAGAGGAATCCTGATGAAATGCATTTAAAAAATTAGGTTCAGTGAGTGACATTTTCCACCTGACATAATAATGCCATGTGCACCCAGCATAGCTAGCACTTCTCATATGCATCCAAATGCAAAATAGTAATTTTCTGGTTAGGTGCAAATAGATGATAAATCAGCATGTTAATTATATTCAAATGAGGTAAACACCATTTTGATTTAATTTTTCAATGCATGAGAGAGAAATATCTGCAGGTGGAGACCATCTCAATACATGAGCAATCTTGCAAAGTTACCAGACATAGCTTGTTTTGAAAAAAATAATATTCCTGCTCTTGAGACAGGAATCTATGTTAAAATAAGTTGTGCAGCAATAGTTATGGAAAAATGCTTGTAATTCCACTGCCTCAGCATATCTAAAAGCATTGTTCTGGATTTACTTTCTCGTTCCCATAAGATCCCTCGTTATTTTGTGTTAGACTTGTGTCTCCCTAAATTTTTCCGCAGATTTCATAGTACCTATTTGGATACTGCCATCCAGAGCACTTTGAACCAGTGTTCCTCCAAGCCCCAGTACAGGTTCCAGAATAGCTTTCTAAATTCCTGAGTCATAGGAATGGGTCCAAAAACCTGATTTTTTTTAAAAAAGCTGCTGTAAATAACATTTGCACCTGTGCAGAAGGGTAAAAAAATGTTTCGAGCCCAGTTCATTTTACTTAAACAGAACTCTTTATGTTGTAAACAGTATAATGTTACACGAAGAATGTGTTCCACCCCATAAAGGTGCTCAGTTAGAAATTGTTACAAATTAATACTTTTAGAAAATATAAATGGTAAAGTTTCATTCAAATCAAAATATTAATCTATGTAATTCTGCACTGTAAAATCTGGTGCTATCATTTTTACAAAGCTATTTAAATGTAATTAAAAAACATATAAAAGTATAATAAAAACAAACACTCTCAGACAAGCAACAATACAATCCTTTGCAGCATTTTGAAGGTGTAAGGCCTCATAAAACATTTTAAGTTGTTCAGGTATCCAATAAAACAAATAAGTGAGAAGCTAAATGTTAGTATGTTATGTACTGAAACAATTGATTGGTGCCTTTGAACACACATTTATAAATAGCATTGATGTGCATTTTGCTCCTCCACTTTTAGATTCCGCTCGAGAGGGTATAAGTAACACAGAATCTATATTACCCAAAATTGTAACCAAGAACCATGTCTGAAGTTGCCAATCTGGGTAAAAAGAATCAACAATAACCTGTATTTGGGAAGTTAGCAGGATTTTAATAGCTAGAGATTTTGCCTTGCGAATAGAGAAATACATAGCTAAATTATAAAATGAAGGTTATCCACTCTATGCAATTGGATTTACTGAAGGCAATTGATAAGGTTCTATATCTGAGTCTTTCTAAGATGAAAAAGGCACCCAGACTAATGGCAAAACAGGTAGATTAAAGAAGTATCTCAGTAGTAGAAGAACAAGATAAATGGATAATGCTACATTCACATGGTTGGATGAAATCTCAAGACATTTCTGCTGTATTTGGAGTATTATTAAATGACATGGAGAACACTTATTTGATAATATCAATCTTGTTCGAACAACATATGAAGCTAGATTACCAGGCTAAGGCAAATTGATAGCATTCAACAGGATTTGGAATGCATTTGGAATATGTGATTTGGCTAAAGAATGTGGAAAAAATGTTTAACTGCTTATTTGCACAGGACACATGAAACGTCAACACTATGAAAGGCAGTTTTTGGACAAATGTAAAATAAGACAATAATAGGGGTTGTTATTAATTGTTCTGTTAAAAACATATTTTAATTAACATTAATTAAAGTTGTATTAAAATGTCCTGGAATACATCTGAAGAGCATTTGATGACAAGTTCAAACAGATTAATTTAACATGTATTTTTGTTCCACAGTACTCTACTGATGGAAGTGACATTTTGTTTCTTCAACAATATAAGCAGATGGGTAACATCTTGGCTGTAAAATAAATTTACCTGCTGAATAGCTAGAAGAGGAATTTGAGAAGCAAAGACTTATTGAGCATAAGGCAGAATGTAGAAATCTTCCATTAAACATGTGCAGTAGTTGAATAGCATAATCATAGATCAGAGACTTCAGAAATAGGCAATCTTGATTCTGAAAAATAAAATATGACCAATGTAGATTCACTCCTCCTCAAAATATTACTTCATGTCTCACTGATATCTTCTGTACTATAAAGCATGCCTTGTGGCACATTCCATAAAGTTTCAGACAATCTTCTGTTTTGTTAACGCGATTTGAAGAAGCTCAAGCTGCCTATATTTCATTATTTTCCCCATCAGAGTATTCCATTCTACTTCCAAGAGTCAAAATTTGAAATTGCTATAGTTTGTGGCTGGGCCAATGATGGGTGTATTTCTAAAATAGAGTATAATGTGTATATGTAGGTTAGATTTTATATACTAATGAATTTATGGGGTTATAATCCCTCGTATTCCTTAAATCATTCGTTAACCTATTTAAGGAACGCTTTAAGGAACACAAACATGCAGCATGAATTGACACTCCGAGCCAGATCAAATCTCAAAAAGTAATTTTAAACCAAAAAGAAAAAAGCATTGTCATGTAGATCTTAAAATTTACAAAACAAAAGAGCACACCACCCCAACCCTCTCAAATGAGGGATCCTGAGAGGGTCAACAACAACTTGGATTTATTTAGCGCCCTCCACGCCGGACGGCGTCTCAGAGCGCTTTACAGTAACAGGTCCCAGGGCCGAGTCAGGGGGAGGGGGAGGAAGGTGACCAAAGGCGCGGTCGAAAAGAAAGGTCTTCAGCAGAGACCTGAAAATAGGAAAAGAGGGAGTGAGACGAAGAGAGTGAGGGCATAGCCTCGGGGCATAGTGGCTGAAGGCACAGCCGCCCAGGGTGGAGTGGGACTCGGGGGACAAGGAAGGGGGCCAGACCCAGAGGAACGAAGGCAACGGGCACTGTTTTGAGGAGATAGGAGATCAGAGAGGTAGGGGGGTGCAGAGGAGTGGAGGGATTTGAAGACAAGGGTGAGGATCTTGAAGTCGATCCTCTCTGGGACAGGCAGCCCGTGCAGTCTGGCAAGGACTGGAGTAATCGGGGAACGGAGTTTGGTGCGGGTAAGAATGCGGGCGGCAGAGTTTTGAATAATCTGGATTTTATGGATGGTTGTGGATGGGAGGCCGGCGAGGAGGGGGTTAGAATAATCCAGCCGAGAGGTGACAAAGGCATGGACCAGGGTTTCAGTGGCTTTCGGAGAGAGGTATTGGCAGAGACGGGCGATGCATCGGAGGTGGAAGAAAGCGGTGCTGGTGAGAGACCGAATGTGGGGAGAAGGATAATTGGGGGTCGAAGCTGACGCTTAGGTTGCGTACGCAAATCACTTACCTAGAGAGTACTACCTGCTGGTATTCCTTACAGCATTCTTTTAATACGTTACGGAACACTGTAAATTGTCCCACTATATTTCACTAGGCTGTATGACCTACAATTAGTCAGTGATTTCAGTCAGTGATTACGCTCATGATTTCTAAAGACCTATACCAGCAAAACAATAAGCCATTATTGAAGAATCTCCATTCAATATCTTTGAAGCTTTCAAATAAAAGTATATTAATTTCTAAAAAAACAGGAACCAAATAGTGTTCCACCATTCTTATAACCAAGACAATAACTGAAAACCTGTGATGAGGTTGGGGTTTATATATTATTGACTTCACTGTTTGTGACTCATATCTGATCAAATATTCCTTACATGCAAAATTCATGCTTCTGCAGACACTTTAGCTCGGAATCCCTAATGTGTGACTGCAACCTTGGATGGGTCCTGCAATGGGCCCAAAATGCCTCTGTTCGAATAGCAGATGAAACATTGTGTATTTACCCAACAATTATACAGGGCCAACCATTCAAAACCCTGAAGGAGAAGCAGTTGACATGTGGTGAGTAGAAGCTTTGTTTCATGCAGTTGATACTTGTTGTGACAGATCACTTACAACGTCAAACTCACGCTGTTTAACCGTAGTTACTGTAAAGCACTTTGAGATATTTTGATATTATATGCACTATGTCAAGGATTATTGTTGTTGTTGAGTTTATTTTGTAACAAAGTGTGTCCAAATGGTTCACAGTTTGGAACCAGCTTTAACAGAGTGATTGGAAAAAGTGATCGGGATTAAAGGAATCAGATGTATACTAGAATGAATTTTAAAATCAAATTATACCAAATAATTATCAAATTAACGGACCAAGTAAAGCCTTAAAAACAAACCTAACCATATCTTGTATTTTCCAGTCTTCATCCAGTACCAAAGAACACCAATCTATAAACATAAAATGCCATCTCATACAGTACAGACGGATACAAATCGTAAAGCAACTTCAAAAGATGCACTCCAAGTAGTTGACTGATGTTTGGACATAAAATACCCTTACTATTTTACAATTGTAGAGTGTAATGGGAATCTTTAGTATAGGCCAGCTCAATAAAAATGATCAAAACAGGTGAGAGAGATTTGTTTCCCACTGAATATTTCCGAAAGCACCTAAAAAGGAAATTCAGTGGAAAAACAATTCTCAGTCGGCTCCAGACATTTGATCCTAGTCAATCACTCAGATGCTATTTCAATAGGATATCCAGCATTTTGTCACATCAGTATTCTAAGTTGATATGGCAAGTTCACACATCACATTGAGTGTCAGCATTGATTGGCAGAATGGCTTTCATCTGCACTCAATATTTTTCATGTATGTTGTGATGCAAAAGGGAATGGATCAAATTACATCTTTGTTTGACCCAACCTGAGGGATTCTTAGCAATGTCAAGGGCCATAAATAGAAAACTGCTTTATTTCCTAACACCATTATCCCTCATCTGAATATGCAACATTTGGGTGACTTGGGCATCATGTTTACAACTGAAAGAATTAAGAAGACTATGAATCATGATTGCTTCTTCTAACTAAAATTTTCCCAGGTCTTTAATAAGAAAGAAAGCTATTAAGTAATTTCCTTCATTCACTGTTCAAGTGTGCTCATGGTAGATTACCAAATAAAACTATTGATAGATCTGGTGAATATGACTGATTTTAGACAGTCAGATAATTGCCATCTTGTACATTTCATCCTCCTGAAATGGTTCAGGGAAGGAAACTTTAAAAAACAACTGAAAGATAGAGCACTAAAAGATGATCTGAAGGCATGGATGAATTTGACATCCATTTCTTTAACAGCAATATGTTTATAAACATTTATAGGAAATGAATTGTTTTCCAAGATATGAACAGCAGTAAATGCTTCGCTCCACTGAAAATATGCAGATCAAATTTAAATTATTCCTCATGTGTTACTCTTTTTAACTTACACTAAATGTTAAATGCCTTAATTTCTTATAGACCTAAATAATAAATAGAAGTAGCATCTTTGCTTTATATAATTTTGAAACGTTAATAATTGGAAGATTTGAGTTCAACGTGCAGCAGTATGTTTTCAATTATTTATTAGATTCTGATCTTAAAGTGTATCATTGGAGTTGTACAGCAATAGGCGTCTCTCTGCTCAGACTGGTATTTATATGATGTTGAAATATTATCTTGTAAAGTTCAGAAACTGAATCTTATTCTGGACAGAGAAACAAAATCCCAATCTAAGTACAGCATGCAGTGTCTGGAGGATGTAGGGTGCAAGTGATTTGTGTTTGGAAGCATACTTCTGTTGAAAGAAATCAAAAGAATGTCGAACAGATGTAGATTTGATCAGGCTTCACAAAACGCACAATGTTCACTGGGGGAGTTGGTATCGGACATATTTGATTTGTCTTTTGGCCAACTATAGAGTTTTGTAGACTACTGTTAACCAACCTGCCATGTCTTTAGATCCTGATTGGGAACTTTAGTCAAACACTATAATATTCCCTATTTACATTGCATAAATCACACAAAACAAGGTAAAAGATTTCAAGAGGGCAAGATTCAGTTTACCAGTTTTTTTTAAAATAGCAGTCAAGTACTCTATGGCTCACTGTTCAGGAAGCATGCAAAATTATTTTTTTCAAATAACATTATGATCACAATAATCATAATTATGTGTGAGATTAATTTCACAGGAAAAAATGTAAGGCACAACTCTGAACTGCTGATTGCATCCAATTCAAAAGTGAACAGTTGTTTCTGTGGCTGAGTGTAATTCTGCTAGAGTGAATTACCATGCCTAGAAACACAGCACAGATTTATTAAACTGTTTTGCAAATATATTGATGTAACGGGGGTGATGGCTGTCAGTGTTTTAGATTATTGATAATAAACTTATTGAGTGCTGTATATTGTGCATAAATTTTAATCACCAAGTTTGTCCTTAACTGTATACAAGTGCTATCCAATATATAACCAATCTATGACCATTCTGTATATGACCGTCATTTTTGCTATCAGATGGCCCCCTGGAGTTGCCTTTGTTCCAGATTATTCCATCCCGTCGCCAAGTGGTGTTTCATGGTGATCGTTTGCCATTTCTCTGCACTGCAACTTATGTGGACAAAACAACCCAGGTCCACTGGCATCATAATGGGAAACTGGTGAAAACAGATGAGGATAACGAAATATTTGTGGAACCAAGTATGATTCACGACTGCTGTTTGATATCCAGGTATGAGAACATCATCGATATTTATTATGGACACAAGTTCAAATATGTGCTCTTAAATTAATGGTAGCCTTATTGATTAATGTTGCCTCATAAAGCTTGGTTCAGAACATCAACTCTATCTGGTAGATAAATTACAGATTATTCTGCAATATTTTATAATATAAATTTGTTTGTAGATTGCATTAACCTGAGTACTTAAAAACTCAAAACAAATTAATGGTAGAAATCAAAGCAACATTTCACTCTAACCCTTGGTCCTCATCTGTGAGCACCACCTTCTGGAGTTAAACATAATTACACATAATTGCAGTCATTTAGCACTATTTGATATTGAGGGAATTGCAAGAAAATAGTTTCTACCACATTGACATTTGCTTCTTGATGGTTTGGGAAATCAACCTTGATATTTTGCGTTTGTATTTTTCATTGCACTTTTTTTAAAATTAAGATTATTAATATAAAGCACATATGGAAATTACATATATGGACCACGTAAGATAGATTCAAGTCAAAAGCAGACTGACAAGAGGAACATTGGAGCTCCAGCCAAGTACATATTTCTAACACACTGTGTTTGCTGCTTGCTACATATGCTACATATGCCATTAAAGTATGCATATTAGTTGGTTGTTACAGTTATTAATGGATTATTAATGGTTCAGGTTTCAGCTTCTTTAGCTCTCCAGGAGAGTTCAGTCCTTTGCCACTTTGTTTCACTCAGGTATGTTATACCAGTAGATTTTAAAGAAAACTTTTCTACATTAAAAAATAAATAGTGGGTTCATTCATGTTCCAATCCTATTCATACAATAATTTGCAACTGCTGCATACAGTTTATGTATAAGATGAGTCATAGGTGTAGCTTTGTGTAGTTAGAGGACATAATACAGTTACTATGGTGACACAGTGAAGCTTATTTATTTGTGAGTCTTTATTAAAATAGTAATTAAGATTCCCCTGGGAACTAGAAAAATACAGGATTGACCTGTATTTTCACCCGGAGACACAAGGTCAAAAAGTCTAACATTTACACTTAGCCTTCACCCAGAGGGCAGACTTGTCATTATGCACTGGGTCATTTATGCGCTGGTGAATGACAAAGTATCTGATATTGACTGTAAATGTGGTTATGTGTTTGACCATCTATCTATCAAAATAAAGCATGTTAAATTGAAAACGAGTACAAAATACATAAACAAAAATAAATAAATCTGGTTAAAATAAAATAAATAAAATAATTCATGTTTTCTGTGAAAAGTTTGACATAAGAGCCATTATCTCTTAGCCTACAACTATAATAGACATAGCTCAAGTCCTTCTAGTAACCAATACCCTGCCCCTCCAGCCATTCATAATGAGTGACAGCATTTGCTAGAAAATGAGATCATTTCTAATATTTAGAAATCCAGCACGAAGTACACTTTGCTGATAGTGGAGGAAAGAGAGACGTTTCTCTTGGAATTTGTGAAGGATCTTTTTGCCTTGTTCTCAGAAACTGAAAGATAAAGATCCAATGGTCTCACTGGGGGATGATAATGAAGAGGGAAATTGAACAATATTGTACTATAAATTTCCAGTGAAGAGTATAACATATTATTTTTATAACAATATTCAAAACAAACGCAGCTGTGTTTGACCTGTGGAAATGTAACAGCAATGCGTGTCTTATGGGTGACTGTAAAGGAATTTACGAGCAGTATATATGATATTCTGGAAAAAATACAAGACTTTTTTGAAGATATTCCTAATAAGGAGCTTCTCACTTTTCTTTTCACTTATATAAAGCAATAATTCTGTCAAAAACAAACAGAGAAATGCAGGCACTGTCCATATATATTTATATAAAGAATACAAGGTAAAGCAACAAAGTGTACATTGGGTGCAGACTCTGGAAATTCATTGTGCGGAAAAGGTCAGCTTTGAAGCATCACCAGACATATTTTAGAACAAATATATCAAATGAATAAATGTACTGCATAATGGGATGATGTCATTGGTGAATATTTAGGTTTGATCATTGTTTATTCACTGGAAATCTGTACAAAAATCAAGTACCAGAATGACGTGAAGAGAGTGTTTGACTATCAGATATTCTTATGTTGCCTAGATCATCAGCATGATCACTCTGAAACATAGTGGCCACCTCCCTATTACCTCCCACCCAACTTGGGTTCCCATTTCATGTCTGTGCAGTGCTTTGCAAAACATTTTCCTTTATCCAAGTTTGTTGTTGTATTGTTTGGTGATCCAAGTTTATTATTCAGAGAAAAGTGACAAGGATGTTCCAGCTCTTAGATGCAAAGGAGTAGAGAGCAAAAGTTCAAAATGTTATAGTCTCCAGCAAGATTAAAAATAAGAAAAGTACAAATACACAAGCAATTTATTGACAGTAATTACCTGTAAAGCACTTTCAGATATTTTGACAGTACACACACTAAATGCCAGGTTTATCAAGGATTATTATTATAGCTACGCACTCAATTTTCATAATAGTTTATAGGACTTAGTGTAAGGCAGCCAGCCAGGTCTAAAGGTTGAGGCATTAGAGAATGCATAAAATATTCTGAAGCTTCACTTAATTACCTTTTATATCGAAAGTGGAGCAAGTTTTCTAGTATGAGATCAAAATGGCTGGAAAGGGCAAGTCCATCTCTGAATAGATGAACTGTAAAATGGCTTTGATTGGCTGAAGGATCTTGCTCCAGGCTTTGATAAAAAAACATTATTTTATATACATTATGTATTTCTAATCTGTCAGTAGACCAATTGGGAGTTCCGGCATGCTGAATAAATATTAAGGTGCACCATCCGAAAGGTTTCTTTTAGCACAAGCCAGATTTTATAAACCTAGTGACCTTGACTGTGGTGTTTGGGTCATTGGACCATAGATTTCCAATGGAATAGTTAAAAGGTATTAAACAGTGGTAGTCTCTCCACTCCTTATTGGTTATCTGGCTGTTGACAGCCTGATTGGGGACACGGATATGGCTTTTGCCAGCCACAAGTGACTGCATGAACAGAATATTTAGAAAATCTTCTTGTGCTTCCAGAAACAAGTTTCCAATGTAAATTAGTTTATTATTAGAGAAGCAATTTGCTAGCTCAATGATGGTTGACATTTTTTCAAGAGGATTGTAAAGAGGATTTAAATACTTACCAGACCATCTCCTTTCAAATTTTATTAGTTCAAAACATTAAGACTTACTTTGGTTTGTGTTAATACTAGAGTCAAACACTTGCTGTTCAATGACACTGGTGACCTTTACTTTCTGTGCTTATAATGGGATTTCCTGTTTGATTGTACTGTCTTTAATAGGTGCACGTGTTTTAGATAAAATGTTTTATATAAAATAAAGTTCTTAATGTAGACATAGGAATTACAGTTATTTTCATTTAAATCGGACAGTAAATGAACCTGATCACTGGACACGAGATAAAAGTCACGATTTTCTTCTAAGCAGGGCAGTGTTATCCCTGGTACAATAAATTTAAGCCAACATTGAGGTCAAAGCTTTGCTGTAGAAACAAATGCTCTAACTAAATCCTTACTCCATATGCCTCTGTTTACTTAGCAATAAGTAGGAACCCTGTTGTTAGACGATTGGTGGATCGCTTTTCCGGGATAATAATAAATAAAATAAAAGTAATAATAATTTGGTCACTTAATCCATGATTGTTTATGAGAAACTGCTGTGCGCAATTGGCTGCTGTGTTTCACCCACAAAATATACAGTCAATTCACTTTACAGTATATTCTGTGAAGCACTTTGCAATGTCTCAACGACTTGATAAGGTGCTATATCAAATGCAAGAATTATTTTATATATATATAATAAATGGTCTGAGTGAAAAGTGAACTAGGTTAACAATACATACAATGATGTACTTAAAGACGATCTGGGGGTTTCAAAAGTGTTTACTCAACAATTAGCACTCAGCTGTACTCCACCAGGAAGCCTCCAAAACTGATGATTAGACCCATTAAAGGGAAACCCATAAGAAATTATGTTGTAATGAAATGTTGCAGTTTATGTAATGGTTTCTGAAGTTCAGTGCTCCTACAGGGAAGCTGCTGCCATTTTCTGCCAATGAGTGTTCCATTCATATTGTCGGCTGTGTTATTATTTTGTTTATACATACTTTGAACCTGAATTATCACCAAAATCAGTATCTCTCAATGAAAAATCTTTATGAGGGGATCACCATTACTCCCTCTAGCTAGAAGAATAAGCATTGGATTATTTATAATAATAATAATCCTTGCATTTGATATAGCGCTTTTCACGTCTTCTCGACATCCCAAAGCGCTTCACAGAATATACTGTAAAGTGAATTGACTGTATATTTGTGGGCGAACGCGGCAGCCAATTGCGCACAGCAATGTCCCACGAACATTCATGGATTGAAAATGACCAATTTATTATTGTTTTGTTTTTTTGGAGGGATTATTATTAGGCGTGTGGAGTAAGGAAACTTGCCCAAGGTTTCGCCCTCTGCCTGGAATTGAACTCAGGTCTCTCGCTTGCAAAGCGAGTGCTCTAACCACTGAGCTACAGGACTCCACCAGGAAGCCTCCATAGTTGAGATAAACCCTAACAAACAGTACCATCTGCAGCACTGATTTACATCTGGACATTTATTTGAATTATTAATGCTAATTATTTTGATTGATGGAATTCACAGATGCTGGCATTGTCCATAATAAATGATAGTAGGGGTTTGGTGGGCAGACCCTGGAGGCAATGCAGAGAAGAGCAACAAGATTAGAGAGATCATCTATAAACAATACCTAGGGCTTTTCAGCATCAAAAGGAGACATCACAAACGGGATACAAAAAAGGCCTCAGATCACCAAACAGTTTCCGGTTTCTAAAAGACAAGTTTAGCACAGACACCTGGAAGTATTTTGTTACACAGAGGCTAATCACAAGCTCCACATGCTGTACTGTACCAAAGTCAATATGGCATATTAATTGACTCTCTTGGGTTTTATTCAGGCA